CGGATCATCTCAGGAAAATCGTCTGATTAAAGACTAAATTCTCCCAAAATAATTATTATTGAAAATGTATGAAAAAAGTAATGAGAATTTTGAAGTAGATCCTGATGCTAGTTTTACCTCTGCAACATGTTCTCTGTTCCTTGCTCAATCCTGCCAGCATCAAAATGGCCGCCTTCAATCAAACCCTGCGCTTGGTCGCAAAGGGTCTGGATCTGAGCATCATGAACCTCGATATCAGTCTCCACTCCTTGGTGTTTCTTGAGTAGGAACTTGACACTAGACAAGTCATGGCCGAGGTCTTCAAGGGACATAACTGTTTCGACCTCATTCATCCAAACCTGGAGACAAAAATATCCGAACACTTACTTGATAGTGGGTACTACAACATCATTTGATTACAACCACTTGAAAAACGTTGTTTACAGTCGAACCTCCACTAACGGCCACCTCTCTATAGCGACCATGCACCTCTCCACAACGGCCAGAGTTGTTCGTCCCAATCGTACGTCTATCCATGCTTTTCACTCTTATTGAAACCTCCCTGCAACGGCCACCTCTCCACAACGGCCAGTTAATTCTGCCCCAGGGTGGCCGTTGTAGAGAGGTTCAACTGTAATTTGCTTTTTCATTTATAGAGCGGTTTTCGATCGACTGTCGAAAGTAGTTTCAGTTTACGTAGCTCTATAAATAGTGAAGAAAAGAAAGGTAAAAAAAAAACCATTGTGCAGCCCACTCTATAAACCAATCAGAGCAAACATGGTGGTTTTCCAACCAATCAGGATTTGACTTGCATGTGTTTTCCCGCGCTTGGCACCAGTTGCATTGCCGGATGCATGGCGCACGAGAAACATTTGAAGAAAGGTACTCGACAAATGACAGGAACCAATTAACAAGTGAGGATAACTACAGCAATGGCGAGGATGGAAATGTATTTCAATATCAACAAACTTGAAAACGCGAAGCTCACGTTTTCAGGTTTATGCATGGATACCTGTGAATTTTGGAAACATCTGTTGCAACTAGGAAATCATTTACAACATTTTGTTCTATATTTGGTTCATATCGAGGGAACATTTCCAATCCAGAAAGAGGGGTTCTAATATAGATCCAACAAACCATTATTTTGATGAAACAACATTGAATTAACATTAAATCAATATGGAATGCATATTACTGGCCAACGTACCTTCACGTCTTCCATGGTTCGGTTGAACTGCTGTTGTTGCTGAGCTTGCTGCAGTCTGGACCCTTTATCAGCGGACTTGCTGACTAGTTCACTCCAGCCTTCATTTAATCTTCTCAGAAAGTCCTTGATTTCTTTGGCACCATAGTGATCTTCACGAATCAGCTTCTTTCCACACTGAAATAAATTATTTAATTATAAATTAATTTTAAAATATGACAGGGTGTATAAAAACAATTCTTTCAAGTTGTCAGATTTGTAGACGTGAACAACGGTCAATGTCCAACAAATCCAACAAATGAAAGTAGTATGTGATGGAGCACTTTTCAATTGAGTGTTGAACATAATTTGGTTTGCTTTACTACGCTCTCACCCTCTGTGATTGGTTGAAAAAACTCGCGCCACCTACTCAACCAATCAGATGCAAAACCAAAACCAATCGCGACTTGGTCACACGTGTTTTCCCGCGCTTGGCGCCGGTTACGTGTATTTGCTTTGAGTTCTCATTGGTTCATTCTGTTGTTTACGTTTGTTATGATTGGCCATTGTAATTGCTTTGGTTTTGGTTGTACGACACTCAAATGAAAACCGCTCTCACAACAACCAATTTATCAAACTAAACGAGAATGCAAATGTGTCCACAACAAGACAAATGTGAAGTGTGAAGCATTCATAACTGGGCCAGGATTTCGCATTTTGTAATTAAAGTTAGGCTTCTGTAATCCGCCTCAATCTTTCCCAATCAGAATCTTAACCATCCTTGTTCCTTTTTGGTTTATTCTTACCTCTGATGTTTTTTCTAACTACAGTTGAACCTCTCTAACACGGACACCGAAGGGACGGAGCAACGTATCCGTATTAGAGAGGTGTCCGTATTATAGAGGTCATGAATATGACGCCACTTTAAAGGCTCCACTGACGATAAGAAGTCTCGATGATAACATGTCGATAAACTGATTGTAAACAAATGCTACTTTTATTGTATAGACGATGGGACAATTGATTAACTTTGATCTGCAACCACAAATAGGAAATTGTATTGAATACGAACTGTTATCACTAGAGTGTCCGTGATAAAGAGGTCAAGTTTATATGAATTTGCTCTCTGGGGCCAAGATAAGTGTCCGTTATCCGCATTAGAGAGGGTCCGTAATCAATGATAGAGGTTTTCTTTATAGAGAATATATGGGAATTTTGCCGAGACCAAGGGAACTGTCCGTTATAGAGAGGTGTCCGTAAGGAGAGGTTTGTATTTTGAGACTTCCTTCGATTTGAAGGTAATTTTGGACATCGCAAAAAACAAACAAACAAAAAAGATGATATTCCGGTAATATAAAGTGACTTACATGTAGCATATTTACGTTTTTTCGCATGTAGAAAGCTTTAGCAGGTGAATTTCCAAGCATTGCAAAAAGGGGTTTCAACCGCAATGGTAAGGAATAGTAAAAGTATCAGGAAAGGCTTACTGCATTGATGCTATCAAAGCCGTCCTTGTTCGCTGCAATTTCAGCTTCGAAAGCTTGATGTCTCTGAAGTTTTCTCTGGACGTTGGTCAGATCTCTGAAAGACTCGTCAGTTGCAATCTGAAGTTTTTCTTGAATCCAGGCCTCAAACTGACAGGCAAAACAAAACACAGAATTACACTCCAAGCATAAAAGTGGCTCTAAATTTTGAGTCTGTGGATCGGAAACCCTAGCATGTGACCATTCAAATGAAAGGTATTGAACAACAACACTTTCATGTGGTATTGTTTATTATGCTGTACAAGGTGGTTCTAACTTTAATTCTGTGGATGAAACCTTAGTGTGTGACCATTCAAAATGAAAGCTACTGAGCAGTATTTTCATGCGGTGCTGTTTAATATGCTGTACCATGTGGATCCAAATTCTCGTAATCAAATAATTACCTCTTGTGTATCTCTCTTGAAATTCTGAAGCAGTTGGGATTGTAATAAAGCTTGCCTCCTCTTCGTAGCCAGCTGTTTGACATTCTGTCTTCTTTTGAGGACTTCGTCTTTGCGTTTTGAAATCCTAAAAATACAAAACACGAGCAAGTGTTCATAGGGTAAAGAAATGGAAAAAAATAGAGAAGTAAAAGATACACTAGTAAACAGAAAAAAAAAAACTGAAAGAAAAGATAGAAGAGGATACCATATGACATGAAATTTTTGCGGAAGTTTTATTTTGGGAATGCCGATTTTTGTGTTTTCTGAGATCTAAATTTTGCGATTCATGTGTACGATGGCAGTTCGTTTTAGACACCAATGTTTTGCTTTAATGGTGATATTGACAATTTCATTAATGGGAGTACATTTTTGAAGAAAATATTTTTCCCGGAGTAAGATTTTTTGCGGGAACTTTTTTGGGGGGGATCGTGTAAAAAAAAACGCAAATCGCGTACTTTAGAAATAAACAAATAATTAAAAGAAAAGAAAAGGATGACAAAAAGGTTCAACAGCTATTTTCTCCTTACAATATCAATACATTGTTAAACAGACAGGTGATGAGAATAAAGAAAATCATCAGCTAAGATACATTTTCTTGATGAACAACCAAATTCTCTGCTCTACACTAAAAGAAAACTACGTAAATAAGTAAGGAGATTTCATATTTTTATCTGTACAGTGCAGTGGTCGTACCATTGTCTGTCCCGGTGACTAGCTTCCATCAGACTGTTAGCCATGTCCGATAATGAGTGAAGTTTCTCTTCCTGGGCAGATAAGGTCTTCTCGAAATTTTCTTGTTGTTTGAGCAGCATAACGACGTCATCCACAGAAGTCTGAGGACAAACGAAAGATGCAGATTATTAATTACAGTAAAACCCCACCTTATGACAACCTTGTTGTTACGGCCACTTTCTGTTGGCCCGAAAAAAATCTTAGTCACTGTTAATACCAGGATTTAGAACTTGGAAAGAAGCGGAGACTGCAGCCTGGCCAAACGGAGTCGCAAGTTAACATGCAAGTTCACGCAAGTCGTAAAAAAGCAATTTTAATGCTCCTGTGCGTGCTGCAATTCAGCACTAGAAGTTAACGAAAAACTTGCGTTCGGTGGCCAAACGATGAAAAACTTGCGCAAACGCCATCGTAAGTCAACGCAAGTGTGCGCAAGTCCTGGCCAAACAAAGTCGCAAGTAGATGCTTAATATTGTACATCGCAAAAAAAGAGAGTTTTAAGTCATTTTTTGTAGACTAAAAATATAGTGTATAGTGACGTAACGAGAGAATCCAATAACATTTATAAATGATGAAAATAGTAATCAGTAAATGTAATAAATAATAATAATATACCCCGAGATCATCATTAGAGAGAAAAGCCTCATGGGAAGCTGACAAGGAATCAACATGCTCCGCATCCCGGATGAACGCCTGCAAAAAACAACAAACGACACTAAGAAGATGCCACGCTAACACGGTTACAAGATCCTGCCATAGATAAGTGTTCTGATCAAACAAGTGTAAATTGATGCGCAGCCATGGAAGACCTAAATATGAGGAACTGGGGAGAAACTGTTCTACGCCATTTATATACCGAAATTTTCTTATTGTTATTTACTTACTAAAACACTACTGTTAGCTACCCTTATTATAATTTGTTTTTCTTCACCTCCCGCCTCGAATAGCCCTGCTAATTTGCGGGAGGTGAAAATCTATGTATTTTAACCCAAGACTTAATAAAGCTTGTTGTTGTTGTTGTTGTTGTTGCTGTGACAGCTAACTCCACACTTCACAATTCCCAGCATCTTTTGGAGGTAAAGAGTGTCTGAGAAAGATGTTTTATCAGTCAATGACACAAGCTACTCGGAATAAAATTCCGAGTTCTCCCAACAGGAGTCAACCTATGACCTTCCACACACCAGTCGGACGTCCTACCACTGAGCTACAGGAGATTCGTAGGAGCTTAGGCCATATAACTAGGTTCAAATGTGACAAACTTACTGCATACTGCTGGGATAGGTTTTGTCGATATGTGTTCTAAACTCAATAGCACACAATATAAATGGCATACACATCAGTGACCACTATATGACGTTGGCTTGGTTCATGAGCGAGTGGCTAACCTGTAAATCCTGGCCTTCATGTAGTACGTCATTTCTGTCACTCCAAGTGTCCTTCAGTGCTGCCTTCTCTTTTTCAGCGCCGTCACTCTGTCTTTAAGCTGTCTCACGCGAGGATTGGATGTGACCATCTTCTGGCCATATTCTATTAACTGGTCAAATCTACAATAAAGCAACAACTACTACGCTTACACATAAATATATGAAAGACATATAACACGTTTGGAGAATTCGAAAGTACAGTACTTAATAATGTAAACCTTCGCTTGTGACTCAGGTTCACATAGTTGGTAGAGCATTGCACCAACATAATAAACAGTACCAGATGAAAGTACTGCTCAATAGCTTTCACTTGAATGGTCACACACTTGGGTTTCATCCACAGACGTAAAGTTAGAACCACCTTGTACAGCATAATAAACAGTACCAGATGAAAGTACTGATCAATAGCTTTCATTTGAATGGTCACACACTAGGGTTTCATCCACAGACTTAAAAGTTAGAACCACCTTGTACAGCATAATAAACAGTACCACATGAAAGTACTGCTCAATAGCTTTCATTTGAATGGTCACACACTAGGGTTTCATCCACAGACTTAAAAGTTAGAACCACCTTGTACAGCATAATAAACAGTACCAGATGAAAGTACTGCTCAATAGCTTTCATTGAATGGTCACACACTTGGGTTTCATCCACAGACTAAAAAGTTACAACCACCTTGTACAGCATAATAAACAGCACCACATGAAAGTACTGATCCATAGCTTTCATTTGAATGGTCACACACTTGGGTTTCATCCACAGACTAAAAAGCTAGAGCCACCTTACATACATACTTTATTACCACGTCCCAAATGGGATTTTCAGAGGTACAACATAATCAACATAATCAACAGTACCACTTGAAAGTACTAGTCAATAGCTTTCACCACACACAAGGGTTTCATCCACAGACTCAAAACTTTAAGGTACAATCACATTAATTTTATTGTTCAAGTCATCACATGGGTTCGACATCACTAAACTAAGCTAAGGTAATGTCATTAATACGATCCTTCTTGTGATGGGCTTCAACTCTTAACCCTTTCACTCCCAGATTCAAACCTTGAATCAATAAAATTAATGTGATTGTACCTTAAAGTTTTGAGTAGGTGGATGAAACCCTTGTGTGCGATGAAAGCTACATGTATTGACTAGTTCTTTCAGGTGGTACTGTTTATTATGTTGTACCTCTGAAAATCCCATTTGGGGACGTGGTAATAAAGTATGTATGCTATTGAGCAGTACTTTCATGTGGTACTGTGTGTTATGCTATACAATGTGGTTCTAACTTTTAAGTCTGTGGATGAAACCATAGTGTGTGACCATTCAAATGAAAGCTATCGAGCAGTACTTTCAAGCAGTGCTGTTTGTAGTTTTTGAAAAATTTTGCAAAATGAAATTCAAGATTTTTTCCTCAGGTTGGAACTGAGCACTTTTGGGAGTGAAAGGGTTAATTTGATCAAGCCCAACCTCCTTTAGAACTTTGCATGTGTTGCTGTGACACTATACCTGTCGTTATGAGTTTGAATATCTTCCCACTTCTCCTCGTGTTCCTGTATAAGATGTTTGGCACTGTTGATGTCTTTTGGCGTGTCTCCTGTTCTGAGTGACTCGCGCATGTCTGAAGCCCAAGATAACTGAAAAGCAAATACTTCGTAATTCATTTAAAAGCAAAATAGAATTTTGTGCAGAGTTTGAAGAAGCTCCTATAATGAAACCACACGTAGGAGCTTATGTTAACATTATGTTAGACACTAAGGCTTTCAGTTAGAACGGTTTTCAATTGAGTGTCTAATTCAATATTGCTTTGGTCTCTGCGATTGGTTTAAAAAACTATCGCGCCATCTAATCAAATGCGAAATTAAATCGGATTGCGACTTGATCGTACGTATTTTCCCGCGCTTGGCGCCGGTCACGTGCATTTGCCCTAAACTTCTCATTGGTGGTTTACGTGTGTTGTGATTGGCCATTGTAATTGCTTTGGTTTTGGTTTTGGTTTTGGTTTTGGTTTTACGACACTCAATGTGCCACTGATTAAAGTCAGATATTTACTTGATGTAAATGGTAGTAGTCCAAAATACACCTTACATACAAAACACGTCTCGTAAAATGCATGTCAAATAAACTTTGGGGCTCAAAACATTGGTCAAAATGCTGTTATCGGACGACAACTTCTGTAAATTCCGACTATCGCAAAATTTACTTTGTTTCCACGTGAACAAAAAGTTTCATTTACCAAATCTCTTGAATCTGCCAGGAACCCTTGTTGACCATAAGCTTCATCCAAAACGTTCTTTCTTTTACTTGCTTTACCCTGAAAAGAAAAAAAAAGTAATTCACTCTATTGTGTTACTGTTTTGTTCCTGTCCTGCAGTGCAGTGCAGGCATATTTTGGACGAGCAAGCGCTGAATGTTCCATCGAGTGTTAAGCTGTCATCTTTGATCAAGAAAACAGTGGAGCCTTGGGGCGAGTGGAAAAAAGAAACGGCTGTACATTTTGCAAAAACAAGATGGAAGGAAGCTAAATACATGAACGAATCAATTCTTCAGCGCTTGCCCATCAAACGACAACGTACAGCATAGTTTAAAGAGGAAGAAACTTCGAGAGTCCTTATTGATGAGAGGAAATGAGAAAAAAACACACAACACAAACCTTCAAGCCATTCCACAAACCAATAATCTCGGCTTCTTTTGCTTTAATCTGTCGAGCTTGTCGAGGATGTTGAGAGACCAGACTACAAAACAAAACGAGAGAAGGCAAAGTTATTTACTTTCAAGCTACGAAGCAAAGAAAGACTTTACAAATCGAGCAAACAAAACTTAAAGTGAAAGCCTCTCGCTTATAAACGATGCAATGTATTTTAAAGAGCTTACGATTTAGCTTGGTCCTGTAACTTCACAAGTTTTTCTTCCACTGCAGCGAGATCTCTTTCAAAACCCTAAAATAGATTTCAAGTGTGGTTAAATAATATATCAAGCATGAGAGACGTTGTTTCATTCAATTTCCAAACATTGAGAAGAGAGAGTTGAAAATGCGACGCGCAGTGGCCGGGGGTATTTTCGATGAAATTCGAGGTGTTTGGAAATGCGATGAAGCACTGTCTCAAGTGAGAAATATATGAGGTGGTTCGTAGCACAATAAATAGGATTCTACCTGGTGTTCTCTTTTATATTTTGACTGGAGTTTCTTGCACTATAATACCATTCAAACAGTTCCAAATTTCAACTAACTGTTCATGTAGCAAACTTACGCTACTTCCTACTAACGTTCTGCTGAGACAATCTAGGGAAGCTACCAGTATTAATCTTTTACTCATTGATTATGAGAAAAAGACTTCCCAATGTTCCAGGATCTTCAGCTAGTTCCACTTTGTCGTCACACATTGAACAGATCTTCATTACTGCTATACTATAAACCATTCACTTTCTCAACCAGCGATACCAATCGTATTTTTGGCTGGAATTTTGTCTCCAAGAATTCAGTGAACCCACTCCTAGGTAGCTTCTTCCTCACAGCTGTTATCTGGATAGTCACACAACACTTAGTGAGTTGCGTGACGACCCAAATGAGACCAACTCCCAGGCTGATTATGTCAATCTGACGTGACAGTTCTGAGAGGCTTCGCGAATGCTTGCACTAATTGCTGATTGGTTATTACTTATACGAGGGTGTGACTAGTACTTATTCCCCCGACTGTGTTACCTGGTGCCGCCTCTGTAAAGCTCTGACAGTCTCCAAGTCTCGTCCCATGTCTCCAACTGATAACACAGCATCCTTCTCCTGGATCCAGGACTTCATCTCCTCACACGAGTCAAAGAACAACTCAACCCTGCCAAACAAAGTCCAATCAAATCATGACAAGTACTTGAAAATATGCAATAAAAATGCTTACATTTTGATGCAAGTTAAATTAAGTAAAGTATCCCGTCTGTTTCTGTAGCATGAAGCGGCTAGGAGTATTGCTACTCCCCCTGGATGGGAAGTTAGTCCATCACAGGTTTACCCCCCCCCCCCCCCCCCCCACCCCCCATCATTTTTGCCCAACATATCACCAGTACCTATTTGGAGAGGTGGAAAGAGGCACTGTGAGAGTAAAATGTCTTGCCCCGGGTCAGGCTAAAAAATTTTTACGCCCACTTCAAGATGGCGGCCATTTACATTTTGTATTTTTTTAAGCGACTAAATATTGTTTCGGATTTAATCAACAGTTTAGAATTTGAATTTAGCCAACGTTTTACTGTTTGGGTTAAAAACTGGTTTAAATTTTGATGTTAAGTAGCGATTTTATGATTCGTTCGTAGTAAACCGGTTAGCATTGGTCAATATTGACGTATGTTACGGGAGCACGTTATTGCCTTAAAAATTAGTGTTTCGGGCAGCTAGTGGCTCGATTGTGTTGTGCTAGTGAATAAGGTTATTGTGGGTTAGAATCAACTCAATTCACTAACTATGTTCCTTTTTTGTGGAAAAGTCTTAACGCCGCCATCTTGCCGCCATCTTGAAGTGGGCGTAAAAAAAAAATTGCCCGGGTCGGGTCGAATCTCAGATGTCTCTTGGGTCGGGATGAATTGAGCGTACGACGAGAGATGCCCATTTACAATACTCAATACTTTTATTCAGGCTATAAAAGAATGAAATCAAGTTGTAGTTTGGCGTCTATCTAATAAGCTTACATTATGATGTTTCTGTTCAGCTGTACTTACCCATGTTTCTCTCTCAACTCCTCTTCCTTGGCTTTCTTCAAACGTTGTAGATTTTCCCACCTACAAGATGACACAGCGGTTTA